CCTTCCAACAGATTTTTCTCCAACAAACCTCCACTACAGTTTTTTTCAAGAGTTGGAATTAAACAATTTACTTTGAACAGAATAATGTTCAAGATTTGTTAATCAACTTTGGGGGATAAGAGTCACCCATTGGGGGAGATGGGCGGCATACAAGTTTAATAATAAATAAATAAATAATTTTTATACCCTCCATCCCAGACTGATACTAGGACCAGCTTATTGCTATAGGATGCAGAATGGTGACCAACATGCTAATAGAGTTGCTTTTGTTGTCCTTACTGTGATAAAAAGGGGAAGGAAGGAAGGAAGGAAGGAAGGAAGGAAGGAAGGAAGGAAGGAAGGAAGGAAGGACACTGAGTGCTATTCAGCAGTGGAACAGCTTGCTTCCCAGAGTTCTGGGTGCTCCATTGCTGGAGGTCTTCAAGAAAAGATTGGACAACCATTTGTCGGAGATGGTATGAGGACTCCTGCCTTTGGCAGGGGGTTGGACTAGAAGACCTCCAAGGTCCCTTCCAATCTTATGATTCTATGATTCTGTGATTCCCAAAATCTGCATGGAGGGATGGTGCCAGGTATCGGAGCTGGGAAGAACTCAGTGGAACGTTTGCAAAACCCAGTTCCCAAATCAGAATAGTCCCAGTTTTAATAGATGTACTGCATGTGGACAAGACATTAGATCAATGTTTCTCAACGTGGGTAACTTTAAGATGTGTGGACTTCAACTCCCAGAATTCCCCAGCCAGCAATGTTGGCTGGAGAATTCTGGGAGTTGAAGTCCAGACACCTTAAAGTTGGCAACGTTGAGAAACACTGCATTAGATGGATAATTTTCTCAAATTTCTTCAATGGTAAGAGAATTTTTCCAATATGTTCTCAAAAGCGGGGCTCCCTGTTAGTGGTAACAATAACATTCCTATTTTTAAAAAAGCCCAATGGGATGGACACCTTCATGTCTGCTGCTGGGACTTAACAGAAGGTGTGGAAGCCACAGAGGCTTCAAAAGACTGGTAGAGAGACAATTGGCCAATGAAAGCCAGGCATTCACACATACCCTTTTGCTATTTTGTAACTAAGTGAAGAAGATTGTGTTTCATCCATGAGAATTTCACCAAATTTTTCTTCTCTTTTTTGAAACATTTTCTAAAGCAAAGGCTCGTTCATCAAACCAAATGAGATCAGGAGGGGGGGAAATATAGAAGAAATTCCTGCCCAGCAGTAATCTTAAATAATGAACTTAGGAAAGGAACCTTCTCTCAAAGGCATTTCCTCCTTCAGCCTACAACTGCGAGTACCTCAAAAGGAACAGTAACGCTATGTCGCTTGGTCTCTAGGTTGGAAAAATACTGGGCTTGTTCATTCCCTTCCACCTGGATTAGGTGCTCAGCATGGTCCACATCTGTCATAAGACAAAGTTGGGAGGAAGAGAAGAGAAAGGGATTGGTTTAGAGTGCGGCCTTGGAGGACCTCATTCCGTTCCAAGCTCCTCTGGAAACATCTCCCCAGCTATGATTCTGCCCTGGAATTCACAGACTCATAATAAAAATTGGCTTCCAGCCCTGGAAGGATGAGCATTCATATCATGAGGAATTGCCCCTAACCTGACATTTACCTGGGGTTAAAACATTGCTCTGGACTCCCAACACGCAGATGGATGATATTGTATATCCCCTTGGTCTGCATGAAGGTTAAGATTAAGTGATCAAACACCATGATGTTATTGTCACGAGAAGGTGAATTCTCAGTGCCTATGTTCCAAACATCTTCATGTTTAATTAATATCACTATATCTATAAAAATGAATGTTTTTTTATTATCTCTCTCTCTCACCATCCCCAAGATCCAGATGGCACCCTCTCTGCTGTTGATAAGCAATCCCTTTGTCTCAGCTCTTCCCATGGTAGAAGGAGAATGATAATTAACAAAAATCTATCATGTAATAAAGAATTGGCTTTGGTCCCTGTTCACCCTATCGCACGTCCTCTTCCTCTGCCCCATAATGCAAAAGGAAAGGCAAATCCATTCCTCTCCTTGTTACCAGAAGTGGGGGAGAAATTAATTTAGTTCATATTAAAATATGTTAATAGCTCATATTAAACTATGAACTTAGTTTGCATTTCAAAACAATGGACACTAAACTTAGCTGTCCTTTGAAAATATTTTGCAGGATGTGCAAACGTGTGCAGGAATTTTAAAAACTGAGTATATCAGACAAAACTGCAAAAAGAATGTTTTGGGACAAATGTGCATAAAAACAGTATATGTTTCAGCAAACCCTCTGAAAAATCCTTCCCAAGTGCAATGAGCCAAAAGGGACAGATTTATGAAAATGAGAAATTGACAGATTCAACCATCACTTGAGGTTGAAGGCTCTAGGATAAAACTTGCTGGCAAGTTTTGGCGATCAGAATTGGAAGGAGTGGGTTTTCAGGCTCAAGCAATTTCAACTTTCAGTTTAAGGAATGAAAAGTTCTGCTCAGGATGTCCTTTTGCAAAACTGTCTAAGCTGCATCCTATGTCCAAGTACTCCGATGATTAAAGCACGTTATTTAGCCAAAACTCACCACTGCTGTCTCTTAGGAGTTGCTCATGATGGGGGCAGCATGTGACTACCTCTCCTGCATACTCAGGGTCCCTGAACACAGCCATGGCACGGATGATGGAGCCAGAAGGCAATGGAAAGGACACATTCATGAGGACTGGGAAGGAGACACATCGGCAACAGTACACCTTGTTGAGTTCTTCTGAGTACTGAGATGAGGGACAGAAGGTAAGAGAGAAAGAAGAGGAAGGTTAGCCTCCTTGTAAGAGGCCAAGCTGACAGATGTTACTTGCTTCTGAAATAATCTAGGCACCCTCATCTTCTGAACCATACGACTAGCAGCCTGTTAGCCCTGTGAGGTAGTCCAGACAATAAGCACAACCAGGAGTACTAGCTCTACCTTTATTGTTAGGTTACATTAACAGAATATTGCAAGACTGAAATGATTTTTCCCCTCCTTTTTTTTTTATTCTCTGGAAAACTAGAGAGGGTGCCTCTGAAGTATTTCCCATGCCATCCCCCCTTCTGTGGGCTGAGACATCTTTTACATGCTGGTTGTCCGGTCTGTGGCACTCCTCCTGTCTCCCAAGGTTGTTCCCACATACCGTTACACAGTCAGATCCCTACCCTTCCCTCTCCCCCCCAAAAGGCTTCACCAACCCCTTTCCTCTACAGCCTTCAAAGATAGGATGACACAGATCAAACATGCTATGGGCCTCTTCCCCATGAGGAGCAAATTCTTACTCAGCAGAAGGCATTACTAGCTTACCTGCAGAAAAACATTTGTATTACAATTTCCACTCAACTTTAATTTTTTTGTTTTAACTTACTTGCATAAATAATGTTGTACGCCGCCCAGAGTCACTTCTTGTGGGATGGGCGGCCATATAAATTTGACAAATAAATAAATAATACATGAAGTGTCTTCAAAATTCTCTTCAGCATCATAAATAATTCCACAGGTCTTCCCTGGAACTTTCCCCATGGCTCAATTAAAGTACTACCCACCCATTCTTGAGCCTGCAGGAAACGATGCTGTAAGACTATAAAACTGGTTGTCCTCATTGCCCATCCCTTGCCTGCCTCTACTGGCTCTGCTCTAGATGGTTGCTGAATGATGCTGGACGGATTTCAGGGGTGCAGGCTCCCACTTTCCAATGGTCACCAGCCAGCAACAAACCATCTGTCAGTTACTGCAGGGCTTAATTGGCAGGTGGTTTTGACCAATGGCTACACCTGACAGTTGTTCAGTGGGCTTATGCAGATGTGAAGTTTTGAAAGAATTCAAAACCTGCCATCTCCAGCTTCAATTGCACAAATCTAGCCCGCTTTCAAAACTTGCCAGTCAGCATCGCAAACCTGCTGAACAGTTGATCAATGGACTTGGGGAGATGCTGGATTGGTCAGGAAGCTTGACTCACATGGGTTTAGCATTCTTGCCAAGTTCTGCACTACTGCACAAGTTGAGCCATTTGCCAAAACCAACCAGCTCCTCGAGCCACAGATCAGCTTGCAGTGGGCTCTGGGAGATGGCAGGTTTGAAAGAGCTGAGCTGCCCAGAGGTGGCTGTTTGAAACTCAGCTGCTCCTGCCCCGGAGATGAGACTCTGGGACACTGTGGGTGCAGGAGGACCTGCAGAAAGGGGAAAAGAATCTTGCAAGTCTGGGCCAAATCAGAAGCAGCTTTTGCAAAAGTCTGGCCCTAAACTATCTCTTACCAGTGTGGGTAGGTAATAGACCAGGACAGGGGAGAGTTTTACTAAAAAAAAGAAAAAAAAGTGGCTAAAGATGACTGCCCCCCCTCTTCAATTCTGCTAAGGCTTCAACTATGACCAGAATTAGGATAAAAAAAGGAGATAGGTATCCAGGCCTTCTCGCAACCTTGACGATTGCCAACAATTTAGATGAACAAATATTCCTGGCCCCCATACAAAAGGTGTGGTGAAAGGGAAAAAGGTGTCCCTGACCTGCTACCTCTCTATATCCAAAATTAGTTTTAAGAATCTTAATCTGGAGGAGGGCTGAGAAAGTGATGCAACTTTTATGACAACCGCCAAAGCATTATTTAAGCATTCCTTAAGAGATAAAAGAAAAAAGTTGAAAAGATGATGTCTGTTTCCTATGATTTAGTTACACACGTGCCTGTGACACAGATGGCTGGTCCTCCCATAATTCTCCCCTCACTGTCAGCCCCACTAGGCCGAAAATTAGCTCCACTGGAAGAGCAGAACTATACTTCATTGAAATAGGCTACCTTGCAAGTCTGGCTGGACTTTACGTCCCCTCATACCTGAGTGAATCAGGGAGGTGCTTGTCTGAGCTGCTTCCAAATGTCATCTTGTTTGCCAGGACTTAAAGAATGTCTCATCCCCTCTTGCCTAGGTAACAGTTCTTGTATTTCTGTCAAGGTCACCTCCCTTATCCTCTGCACTCACACATTCCCCCTAAATCCTTACATAAGCAGAGCTTCCCCCTAAATCCTTACCCAAACATCAGGGAGTTCTGATATTCCTTCCAAATCCAGCTGAAACCCAAACGCGCCTGCATATTCTTCCGTGAAAGGGACAGTGGAAGTGGCACTGAGATCTGGAATATGGACCGACGCTTCCGCCATGGAAACTTGAAGATTTGAATGCAGATTTGACAGGTGGCACAAAGCCTATGAAAAATGAAAACAAGAAATCAAGCACAATATTCCACACACCTCTCTTCCCCTTACTTCCACCTTAGTCCAGAAATGCAATAATATTTCATTCTACTTCTAATATCTCTTTCAACTACTTACGCTTGAGGCTCTATGTCTGCCTTCTTCAACTTGGAGCACTCCAGCTGTGCTAGGACTATAAAGTCCCTGCTGGTTAGGAATTCTGGGAGCTGCAGCCTCAACCCATCTCAAGGACTGTAGGTTGGCAAAAGCAGGTACAGGCCCAGTAGCATCTCACCTTGCAAACTACAGTTCATCCCACACATGGACTGGTTCTCTCATCAGCATTGGCTTTTAAATGACAGCTGGTCCAAGGGACATGGAAAAAATCTGGGGCTTTGTTATTGCAATGAGGGAACAGCATCAAAGAAAGTTTGCATTCTTTTTCAGTACCTAGAGAAGAACTTCATTCTTTTCTTTCACCCAAAAATACACAATCATGCTTTGCACTAACATGAAGCATTTCACCAGACACAATACTCAACATCGCCAGGAGGACACCAACCTAGGGGAAGTGGTAAAGCATTGGGAGGAACCCAAATTTATTTTGGTTCAGCAGGTCCCTCGAACTTTATTTCTGAGCCAGCGTGAGGTCATGCACTTTTAGGAGCTCATAGTGTCACCAGGAACCAAGCTTGACATGAAGGTCACACACACACACACACACACACACATAAAATGACTCTGACTTCATAGAAGAACAGCCTGTTTGACTGAGTGAAATAGTTTTGCATTTTGGCACAGAGCAGTGTTTCTCAAAGTGTGGTCTAAGGACCCCTGGGGGTCCCCCAAAACCCTCTCAGGAACCTGCAAATTCAAAACTATTTGCCAGCCTATGTTGAAAAATAATACAATATTAAAATCCCATCAAACAATCATGAGAAGCAGTAGTGGCAGCGAATGCCGCGGTTTAAATTTTTAATACAGTTGTTGTTGTTCAGTCGTTAAGTCGTGTCCGACTCTTCGTGACCCCATGAACCATATT